AATGTGAACGAACGAAATGCTGTTTTGATTTTACTGACCTTAAATGCAAGATTACCTGATTATGTTTTATTGCTATTACTAAACGTGATTATGTGCGTAATCGATGGCTCACTTCTGTTATGTTGAGATGTTTGCCATGTCCTAGAGAGAGAATTCGATAGTTTTCTGGACATCAGATTTTCTTATGAGAAATTTTCAGCTTCTTCGTCATTTTCATGACGTAACTTGCGGGTAAGAGACTAATTCTGCATGCAGTTGCCACAGAATTCGCACCATGCATGTTCCTTAATTAGTACATTGATAACAAAATTTGGTTGTTCAAAGTGTGCGGTCGCAAGACGCCGCTTTGGAGGCCTTCTGGCGACCATTCGGCTCCTTTCCGAAACCGGACGGGGTTGGTGTTTGTGAAGATGATTTGTAAACATTTTGAATTTCCCGTGTTCGAATGACGAACATTTTTAATTAGCCAAAATTGCAATTCGGCTACCAATTCGATTCGCCAAAATTTCAATGGAGCCAATTTTCTCCAATTGCACCATTTTTCTATGTCTGTTTATTTCAGTAATTTATTCAAATTTACTCATATTCGTTTCTCAAATTTTTGATTTTGTAGTGAATTTGATTTTTGAAAAGCGATTGACCATATTCGCATCATGCGAATAAGCGGTGTGTTTCTCGCATCTGGCAGTCGGTATCTTCCCTCTCTAGTTGTTGAGATTTTTGTGTATCAGTGTATTTCTTGCATTGATATTGTTGACTACATCGAGTTGAGTTTATAAATTTATCACCTCTTCTCAAAGACTCAAATCTGCGATTCAGCACTGTATGACTAGTCGACACAAGAGTCCTCCGAATAGGAAAAAAATCCAGTTTTTCTGGTCACCTACATAAACAACTAGCGATTTCTTTCAAGTGGTTCGCATGCTGTGTACGTAGTGTGGCTCCAAACTGCAAGATTGTTATAGTTTGCGCAATTTTGTTCAATATTTCGTCAGAAAATTGTGATTTTTGTGCATTTTAAAACAATTCTCATAGAATTAATGCAGTTTGGATCAGATAATTTGGTTCACAAGGTTGTGATTCCTTTGACTGACACTACTACTGTCTCTTAGGAAACACAAAACGCTGACCGTGAAGGTTGCGCACGAAAGTGATATTTAGTATGTATCACAGACGAGAGTTTTGCACTTTTCTTCGCACTCACTTGTACTTTATGGTGACAGTTTGTCTTTTTTTTGATACGTTAATTTCATTGACAGCGCTCCTCGAAAGCCCCAAGTGATTCAAGATGTCGAAGATGGGAAACCTCGCGTCGGACACTGATCCGAACACTGTGACCGTGTTGCATCGCCGTGGCCCTGCCGTCAAAACCTTGAAGACAACTGCAGTCAGTTATTTAAAGTTGTGCATTCAAATGAGAAATTGCATCGTCATAATTGCCTTCAAAATTGCTCTCTGTCCAGGAACTGAATGCAGCTCAACGACGTGGCGTTGCGATTGAAACGTCCAAAAAAATGATGGCCGGTGGCAACAGACAGCATACCGTTGACAAGAATACGGCAAGGTTTGTTGTTAATGGTGGATTGCGCGAAGAATCAATTCGCACTTTTATTCACATTGCGAAGAGCATCTTTTGCTGACGTTTGCTGGTTAAGCTATAACAACCGCACAGTTTCACCAGCGAACGTCGGTCACGTTCTATGTGTTTGTGAGTTGATTCGGAATTTTTTAAAGACTGGATGAAGAGACAGAAGAACTGCACCACGAACGTGTCTCACTTACACTCGGCAAAGTCTTGCAGCAGGCCAGACAAGCGAAGGAATGGACGCAGAAAGATCTAGCGACTGTACATAAATATCGTTTTTAAGTTCTATTTTATATACTTACATCCTTAAGTGACCTGTTCGAAATTCTGTAGATTCGAATGTGACGTGTACTGTGAGAGCCTAGTCACATCAGTTTACGGATCGATGGGTTCGGTTAGGATTGGTTTAATTGTTGGAAAGTTGATCGATATTTCAGCGTGTTAACGAAAAGCCTCAAGTGGTTGCTGAATACGAAAACGGAAAAGCTGTGCCAAATCAACAGGTTATTAGCTTTTAGGTTGTTGTTTTCATCAGATGCATTCCTCTATCGTAGTTGATGTCGCATTGATGGTTTTGTTCGTAATAGATAGATTAATACGTCTTCATACATTTGTTTCTTTTATATTCTGTCGATTCTATTTATTTTTCTTTCATCAGATTTCGTTTTGAAGTCAGAAGTACCAAAGTTTTGTTCAGATTCTCAGTAAGATGGAACGTGCTTTGGGTGTGAAACTTCGAGGTAAAGACATGGGACAGCCACTGGTACCAAAAAGCAAGAAATGATCATTGACTTGATCAATTCCGATTGATGGATGATGAGAATGTGATTGGAGATCAATAAAATGGGTCGAACCATTTGCTTATATTCGCCTTCAAATTTGAATTTCGCTTAAATAATCATGTCAGTAGTCCATCCGTATTTCTTATACGTCATGGTCGATATGTAATTATTGCATGTGAAAGTGTTATGAAGATTTAAGGAATGATATAGGCATTGCAAAATGATACGTTGAGGTTCAACTGCAGGAGGTTATCAATTGATGGAGAGAGGGTTCGTGAAAATTAAGTTTTTGATATGGTGGGTTTTGTCAGTGACTAGATGCACCCAGAATGCATGTGTACTTTCGTAAAAATTTATGATTTATCACATCTAGTCTGGTAAAATCGACAACATTTAATGAGATTGATCTGTTTTTGTGGTCGTTGCCAATTATTTTAGTGCTGACATCATTGAACATGGATAATTCGCAAGTATATTCACCCACAGAGCTGGCACTCACGATGGAACAGTAGTTCCCCAAATTCCAAATGCCTTGCGATTTACGTTGTTAACCTCAATTTTTCATTTCATTTCAGATGTTACTTAAAAATATTCCCTTTATTCTTCGTATAAATATTTACATAATAGTTATTTATTGATTTTAACGTCGAAAGTATGATATATTCTCAGTCAGCGTTCATTCTTTTGCGTTGACTATTTTGTGATTGTTAAATATCTTTGTTATTTTTATGAAAGTGGTGATGAAAATGCAACTATATGTGTATTACGGAATTGTTTTAATCGTTATTTGTTGTTGAGTTTGGTTTGTATGACAGAATTTGTTGGCGAATAAATGCTCCTATATAATTTGGTTACTGAAGCTGAATAACAACGACCATGTCTTTGCGAGGATCTTTTTCAATGGTGAAACCTTCATGACGACCAAGCATAAAACATCAATAGTAACATCAGCAATGTTGATAACAGCGATGTTAAGTAAAACCATACGAATAATTACAACAGTAACGATAATAACAGCAATAATAACAATGATAGTAACAGTAATAATTATAACAATATCAATATTAATAAATCTATTATTCATGAACATAACATCGATACGTCAATGACCTAAAAACAAATTTATGAACCACATCTATGATTCAGAAATAAGAACAGATATCTCAAAAAGGACATCATGTGACCATTCTCTGCTTCGTAACGTTTTAAGAAGCATGCTTCATTCAATAATGACAATACTAATATATTCATGCCTTTCTTCATTGATGAGGTCGATTCAATAT